AAAACCTCGCGATTGCTGAACAAGAAAACGACACATTCATATTCTAATGCCGAGGTTAAGAGAAAGTCGATCCTGGGAACCATTTTCTTTTAATTACCTACTTATTACGAAACGTGGTTTTTGGTGAACCGCGTTATCTGAGAAAAGAGTCGTCACTTCTTCATTCAGATTCACTTTAGTTCTACGTCGTCCAGAAGTTAGGCGGACCTTTCAAACAATGTGTTAAATAAAGTTTTTGTGCCTTGGTTCATTTTGCATTCGGTTTTAGAGCTCACATTTAGATCTAGGTTTTTATGCTAATTTTTCTCGATTTTCGTAATCTGTGTTCAAATATTTATGTTCTTTGATGGCCCATCTTCACGAGTTGTGTGGGTCCTACACATTCGTTTCTTTGCCTCGCAATCGTCTTCAATGGTGGTGTTTTGATCCGAACACGGTGCTGGATGCGCGTGTCATACCGCGGGCTGTAAAATAACTGCAGCTGCGAGTAGGGAGCTAATTGACTTTCGTTTTGCAGACATGTCCGTCCGCTGTTTGGGTGGTCTTCCGAGAGAACTGTTGCATTCTTCTCGAGTCCATTCTACAGCTTTTGTGGAGAGTTCGTAGTTATTCCTCACCAGCTGGATGTTGAGTGTTCGTAGTTATTCCTCACCAGCTGGATGTTGAGATAACAGAGGAACATCTTAGTGATGCTACTCTCTATCGCCCATCCTCTGAAAAGGAATATAAAAGTCAATACCGAAAACTAAACAATCAATGGGTCAGTGTGGCGAAGGCTGCGGGTTTAAAATCATCGGTTATTTCGCACTTTAAAGTCGATAAACCAACATGTCCCGTCCTATACCTACTTATTAATAAAACACATGAGTTGGTATCACCTGATGATCATGCGTCAACCAATCCGTCATCATTTAAGGTTAGACGCATCACCAGCTGTGTAGACGGGCCAACGGATAGAATAACCTGGTTTTTAAGCCTAATACTTACCCAGTTGCTTAACCACATTCCAACTCACTTCATAAACACCCAAATGTTCCTAAAACGTCTACGTAACGCGTACGTGATGGAGTCTTTCGACGTTACCGCACTGTACACCAACGTGTCCAATGACTCGGCAATGCAAGCTATCTTCGATCTTCTTGTTGAACATGAAGAAAGAATAAATATGCATGGTTTGTCCATCCAGCAGCTAATGGCTCTCTTAAAGGAGTGCCTAAACTGCTCGATTTTCAGATGGTCTGGGAAATATTTCGCACAAATAAGGGGGTTGACAATGGGACAGCGATTGGTACCAAGCCTGGCCATTGTGTTTATGTCTAAGATAGAAGCCCCTGTTCTCGATCTCTGGCCACTACTCTACTGCAGATATGTAGATGATTGTTTTGTCGTGTTCTCTACGCAGGAGGAGATGGACAAATGCTTTGAATTATTGAACGAGCAGTCTTAGTACATAAAGCTCACCCGGGTGAAACCGAGGAAAAACTGGCTTCCGTTTTTGGACGTTCAAATAGGCCTATTAAGTAGCGGTTACCTGACAAAGTGGTATCGAAAGCCAAGTAACAAAAACATTCTTGTCCATTTACTTTCTTCCCACCCTTCACGCACAAAGAGGGCGATTGTAAGAAACATGTTGCGAACAGCCACCTCTGTGTGCACTACCAAAGGAAGAATCGCGCGACTTGGCTCAGCAAATAGCCATCTCCAATGGCTACGAAATAGTAACCCCACGAGATAAGTTTAGAAGGAGAGCGACGCGCCCACGCGAAACACCTGGCCAAAAGAAAATCCCGTTTATGTTGCCTTCTATAAGTGATGAAGTAAGCGTAGCTATAAAACGATGCCTAAGAAGGGCAGGTCTAGAGGAATCGATAGCGATAGTTGAAATACCACCGACTACTCTACGTCGCCAATTAGTTCGCAACCGCCTGTATGACCGACCGTACCGTGTGAAACAACAAATTGCGTAATTTGCCCTTACGGCAGGGACGGTGACTGCATGAGTTCAGGTACGATATACCTGATCTCTTGTAATAATTGCGGAGATGAATATATTGGCGAAACGGGCAGACCTTTGTGTATCCGTATAAAAGAACACTTAGATGGCAAACGAAAACTAGGACAACGTACCCCACTAGGCACGCATAGGATACAAAAGCATAGCGGAGACGATTTTGAAGTAAAAGTCAATATCCTTGCACAGGAAACTAAAACACCAGCGCAAAAACTTCTTGAGGCTTTTTGGATAAATGCCAAAAATCCTACAATGAATAGCAGGGAGGAATGCCCAGAGGTCATACGCGACCTGACCCCGCATGTTCGCATCAACTTCTGATGTGGGATGGTGCAGTCATCAACCATATGCGACTATAATCAGCTGTTCTAAACTTCCTCGCTGGAAGTCACGTTAAAAGTGGTGAGTTTTTTGAGAAGCTGTTGATCGTGTAATTGCCATAGAGTTTTGTCGTCTTTTTGTAAGTTGTAATGTGTTTTTCTATAGAAGTAAATGCATGCTGTTTAAAAACCTCGCGATTGCTGAACAAGAAAACGACGCATTCATAAGCAATAAGGTTTCGATAAGCAGAGGGATTTGTCTTTAAAGATAGAAACTTGAACTGCTTTCGCTGTATCTCGGTTTGATGCAGTGCTCTGCGGTGTATAGCTCTGTTTCAAGAATATATAAGCTGGTGGAAATGCCTTCATAGATTTCGTAGCCCATCTCGCCCCATTTAAAATGCTTACTTCACAAGCTTGTACATTTTTCCTATCTTAGCATTTAGCGGGAAGCCAACACGCATTATCGACTGTCTGAATTTTTCACTTACTTTGAGAAGCATAAAACTCGCACTGATAATGAGATACTACTGTTCAAGCAACTGACGTTGTACTAAATCAAATAGTACTAGACGTATGTGTCTGGTGTTCTTCCTAGTTCTGTCAGCGAACACTGAGTTATGTGTTGATTTAAGACTCATCTTAACTCAGGTCGATTTATACATGAACATGCAACATCGATTTAATCCTGGTTAAATGAATAGAGCAGATCAAATTGTTGGAGTTCTTTACTCCTAAGAACATATCTGGAACACTATCACTCATCTGTGATTTGTCGATAAGCTTAAATTTTCTTCATGTTATAATTTCTTATGCATTCAGCTAACAGAACTAATATTTCAGAAGAATGGTGGGTTTCTGTTAATAAGTACAACAGTTTTCGTAATCGTTGCATTTATTATACTGCTGCGGGTTCCTTCGACTTTGTGTTGAGTATGTTGGAGAAGATCGTCTGGAAGCTCTCAACGGAGGCCAGTGCACCGTAGTCGATAAATCTGGAAGTAGCTATTTTTATGTTATTCTCCTATTTATTGATACTATGTAGATGAAACGGTTAGGATTCGAAGGTGATTTTTTGGCAATACCTAGTGTGCAAAAATGAATTTCTAGACTCTACGTTAAAGCACTTTGTAAGGACTTGGCAATCCATGTGAATGGAAGAAAAACTTTTGTATACGAGATTAGTTACGTCACTCATTTGGGGCTTAAATGCCAAAAACGCTTTCCGAAGGCTACCTGATTTTATTGATATCTTTTGGCGCGTAGGCTCCTTTAACAACAACAATGTCCTGCGGCTTCTTGTGACCGTACTTCTGGAAAACTGCGTATTATTTGCAAATTACGAAGTTCACGCTCGATGTAGTCGGCTATGATTTGCTATCCCCTGTGGCTTACAGTTTCATGGGAATTGAGTGAGGGCATCCATGGGTGTCGAAATGCGATGTATATAAGATATTCATCCTCTCAGTTACCAGGCACAAATCCGACGCGCTGCTTTTAGCTACGTTCCTGCGCCAAAAATAGTTTAAAAGGCATTAAAGCAAAGTGATGGTTCATGTGAAGTCCATAATCTTCTCTGGAGCGTAACGAAAACGAATTGCGTTCATTGGGATATGCTCAATTTATTTAATCATTAACAGCATTATAGATGACACAGGTAATATTTTTTAGTTTCCAGTTATTGGTATAATTGGTTATTATCTTGTTGTGATAAGAGGATCTTAAAGAATTTGGGCTACCGATCAATGCGGAATTTTATAGTTCGTGACGTTGGCCAATGTGGATTCGGAAGAAAAGCAGTGATTGGAGCTGGCACGAAATGAACATAGGCGCTTACGATCGTTTATAGGCTTATTTCCTTACAACTTTCCCTTTCAATAGTTCATGTAAGTACTAGGTAAATCTTCCAATTAGTAACCCAGACATGCTTGGAGGACAAATGTTGGATCTATTGATAAAATGTGCAAAAAACGCCGATAAAAGAGCTAAGCCTGTTTGCGCTGTTTCCACTAAATAACTTGCCTACACCCACGTTCTCCCATATTCTAGAAGAAGCTCTTTTGAAATTAGACGTTAGTTGGTATAAAAAACTTGCAAAATTTCATTAGTTGGTATCTGTTAACATGCGTACCAAAAACGTCGACACTAAATCGACCGGCCATTACCAGAAATATTAGTTTACATCTTTACATTACACAAAGGGGTGCGTGTGGCCCAGTGGTCGGAGACGCCCTGCAACATACACATGGGATCGATCCCCGCGTCCCTGGCCCACCAAGCCTTCCATCTCCCAGGAGTCTGCAAATTGGTGCCAGACTTGTCTGGGAGGATCGGCACCAGATTTTTGTCTGGGAGGGCAGCACTGTCTCGATACATCGGTAGGCCACCACGAATCATCTGGAGGTGACTAAATGCAGATCTGGCCTTTAGAATGACTCGTGTTGGCCTACCGATGTATCGAGCCAGTGCTGCCCTCCCAGACAAAAATCTGGTGCCGATTTGCCGATCCCAGAGGGATGGAACGCTTGGTGGGCCAGGGGCTCGAAAATCGATCCTAAGTGTATTACAGGGCGCCTCCGACCACCGCGACACACGTGCCGGTGTAAATACTAAGTAAAAATGTAAGCTGAAAGAGCGTAATGAGATGATCTTTGTAAGATATGTGAATGGTAAAGATTGCAGATTGTTAGGATTCCAAATAATACGCAACAAGTTGTAGTTAAATTGGTTCCACAAAAGCAAAAATAAAGCAAATCTATTTAAGAAGCTGTAGTTAAGGACCTGTAGTCTTTCAGATGACAAATTGGGTTGAACCGCACTTGATGCGCATTGTGTGAGCTCGCAGATAGAATGACTTTTAGATGTCTATTTTTACATTATATGCCTTAAAAAGTATCTTCTCTAGCATGCTTTTACTTCATCTTCATGCAGCTGTTTAGCTGCTTAAACACGCTTAAAAAGGGAACTTTAGGTGGTATAAGGTTCGAAGTTCAAATTTAGTTGAATTGTTGCAGCAGAGCCATGAAAGACGAGGCAAACTATGAATTCTTTGTCCTACAAATGCCTTTCATCATCGTCTTTTACATTCGAAATAATCTTGACCATGTCTGACTGTTCATATAGCGAAGATGTTGTGAATTATGAAGAAAATGGGTAAAGTACCTGTTGCAAAACGCTGGCGTATCTCATGAGATCTGGCACGTGCACCATTTTGCCGCCCACGTTTACCAAGGCGAATCGGGCGTCCTGCAGCCATTATCATTCCTTTTCCTTCATTCCATTAGTGCTTTTTCTCACATGTTCGTAAACACTGATTTTTCGTGATGAAGTATAGTATTCTCTGGTATCTCAGGTCTTCAGCGGTGGTCGAATTACTTTAATGGTAAAAGAGCAGCACGCGACTGTGCGTTTTTTATTACTTATTTTTACCACCAAGATGAATATTGCACTTATATAATGCTGAGATATTTGCAAAACTCCGGACCGCAGGTGTATGAGGTGGGGAACGAACGCGCTATTATCCTTTCCGAGGAGTAGCGCACTTCACCACCACACCATCCGGGTCCTTCGTTTTGCCTGTCTCTCAGCTAGTTCTATCGAACTTTTGCCAACAGCAATCACCCGTCAACGGGATTGATCTGAGGAGCCCAAATCGGTATTGAACCCAGTTAAGCTGAGGTTATAATCACAACTTAACCCTTCTATTTACTGCCTTTTTTTTTGATGGCAAAAGATCAATAGAACTAGCTGAGAGACAGGCAAAACGAAGAACCCGGATGGTGTGGTGGCGAAGTGCGCTACTCCCCGGTAAGGACAATAGCGCGTTCGTTCCCCGCCGCATACACCTGCGGTCCCGAGTTTTGCAAATATCTCAGCATTATATACGAGTTATATTTCGCAACATACCCTGCCATTGAAAAGAAAAAAGGCAGTAAATAAAAGGGTTAAGAAATATTGCAGTTTTTTCTAGTTATACGTCTACATAAATCGGTGAGCACTAAGCTGGTAGCCACTGCAATGGATGAAGACGTTAGGCCTTGAGCAATTCCTAAACGTGCGCCATGCATTGGCACCCATTGAAACTCATAAAGGGATGATTCATACCATCAGTGTTAAGTTCGCTTTATCTTTCGACAGTCTCACACCTCCTGAACACTAGGTGCATAACACTTATGAATGAGACCACAGATATTGGTCCAGGTTATTGGATTCGATGATTAACGAATTTAGAAGCAATATAGTTGATATGACTTACAAAACTGCTCATTACAATCATTACAATCCGTTTAAAGGTAAAAGGAACAATTTTTTTAAACAGCAGTTGAAAGGCGGCACATACCTTAATAGCTCTACCGAAGTAGTGAATTTTACGGATGTACTGTATGCCGACGAGGTCGATGCACATAGTTCTGAAGTTAGTCATGGCAATTCCGACAGATTTTTCAAAGTGATAGTTGACTTACGTGATCGCCAATCCAATAATAATATAGCAAAGATCAAGAAGATAGAATTCTCGATTAATCGGTACAATATCTCCAAAGCCGATCTGAATTGGGGATTAACACTTTTCTGAATAGCGTGGGGTTTATTCCACTAGTACGAAGAAATGAGGTATCTTCTACAAACAGAAGCGACATTGTTCTTTTGCTGAACCCAAACCTATGAGGAAATCTTTAACGTTAGTCCAATTTTCACTTTGCAAACCGTTCATAAACAGCTTCTTCGTGAATACTTTGTTTCCATCTCGATTAAGATGAAGAGAACTCATTCAAGAAAAAGTACAACGTAGATCTGTTGGCAAGTTATTGATTTTGCCCCAGAAACGTTGACGTTTACCTTTAGGAATCGAAAATTTTAGTAAAGTTAAGTACAACTTGCATTTGCTACTGGGTTTACTGTATTCTTAAGCCTCCTTGTTGAGATGAAGGCTACAGCCCGTCATGGCAGGCTCTCAGATTTTGTAGAATATCCTGTCTTAGTATGAATAACTTACAGTGGTCATTGTGATGAAAGAAAAGTAGAATCCTGAGAAAAATTGCCAATTTTCCCACGATCCCAACAAAACCGCTCCGATGGCCATGTAACCAAGAAGAATCATCACAATAAGAGCGACTGGGATGGAAATGTATTGCTCGAGACCCTAAATAGCTTATAGATTAGTATCAAGACCTCAGATGACCTTCTTTTCTCGGACTTTACTATATTTACAAAAATAAAGGATATAAGGAGAGAAATAGTTCTCTATATCCCCACGAAATTCTCTATATATTTCAGAAAGTCTTAGAACAGTTCTGGACCTAATTATGAGTCTGTAAATAAGATGAATCCTAGAGCATTTAGCTCAAATTTTTAGCGTAGTGGTTATAGACGTGTAAGAAGTAAAGGAGTGGTTCACGTAGATGCAACCTAGTATTTTCCCTCTCTTTATTCTTTTCGTTTGATGAATGATGACATACTTTTGCTGCCAGGAGAACAGAAACGAGAAGGGTAGCTCAAGCAAGAGATCTTCACTGGAAACACTAGAGGGTCAGAGTAAATTCATTTTAAATAGAGGAGCAAAAAATTCGCATACTTGTTGAGAATTGTGGATTCCTCCGGAAAATCGACTTCTGCTATATCATAAATACCTTAGATGTTCTCTTAGAATTATAGAGAACGGGCAATCGGAGAGGGTAAATAGAGAACAAGCTTACGCTTCTAGTTTACAGGAAGGCAGACGTAAAGAACACGGGAGGCTGCTTTTCGGGCATTTCTGTTTTTTTTGTATCATCTCTAAGTCGTTCATGTTAGCTTGAAATACAGTATGTGTTGGATTTTTACTCAAGCAGCCCAGTATTTAAAGAAGATTCAGTATGCTTGATTAGGGTTGCGAAACCCACCAAAACAACGCGGTGCTGCAAAAGCAGTGTTTCGTCTAACGTCTATCATCATGACGAAGATTTTGTACTTAGTTCCCAGGAACGACTTTCTATTGACCTCGGCATTGGAATATGAATGCGTCGTTTTCTTGCTCAGCACTCGCGAGTTTGTTAAACAGCATACATTTACTTCCATAGAAAAACAATACAACACAGCAGTAGCTGACGTTTCGGCAGTATCCTTGCGCAGGAGACTAAAACACCAGCGCGAAAACTTATTGAGGCTTTTTGGATAAATTCCAAAAAGCCTACAATGAATAGCAGAGAGGAATGCCTAGAGGTCATACGCGACCTGGCCCTATATGTTGGCATCATTTTCTGATGTGGTGTGGTGCAGTCGTCAACCTTATGCGACTAGAATAAGCTGTTTTAACCTTTCTCATTAGAAGTCACGAAAACAGCGGTGAGTTCTTCGAGAAGCCGTTGATCATGTAATTACCATAGAGTTTTTCGTCTTTTTGTAAGTGTTAATGAAGCGTTTGGCCTAGCAGATTGCATATCAGCATACCCTTCCAGGCTCTGAAGAAGGCGATACTACCGAAACGTTAGCTAGTGTTGTATTGCATTTTGTTTTTCTATGAAAGTAAATGTATGCTATACAACAACCTCGTGATTGCTGAACAAGAAAACGACGCATTTTGTACTTACTTCAGACGGCTGTAATTACTAGGATTTAAGCAACCAATTTGGATGCGCTTAGTACTTGAGCATTTATACTGAACTGTACAAAAAATTCGCGAACAGAGATGTCTCCTTTCCCACGCAGAGCTCTTGAATGAAAATAGAAGTTCAGGAAAAAGACATCTCATCTTGCTAAAACTTCTATTTACCGCTTGATAACGTAACAACATCGAAGTGAAACTGTGCTACTATCATGTGCGATTTGGTTACAATAAAATGCTCAAGTAAAAGCCGAAAACTGCCTTTAATCATGTGCGCCGTTCTACAGTCAGTAAAGCCTCGCAATATCTCTAAGACAGAGCATCTTCAACTGTCACAGACTCTTTTCCACTATTGAGTAAGATCATTCATTTTTATTTAGTATCAACCCAACGTCCCGTCCTCCCAACGGTTTACCGCCTCGTAGTGGCTAGGTGTTCCTGGGTGTCGTGCTGCGATGTACAGAGGGCATTTCATGCACAGGCAGGGTCTCCCAAGCCGAGAAGAAGTCTGGCGTTTCTATCGGAAAGCCTGGCTGAGAGTAAACCAATACCAGGATCTACCACTGTCTTGGTATCAAGGTCGCATGGGGCCAAATCTCCCTCTGATCCACAAGGCCTGCTGCTGTCTGTGGTGGTGAAGACCTGCGGCAGATTTTGGCCAGGCTGAGCTTGGGATTCTAGCGAAGCACAATGGCTTAGGCAGCAATTCTCCAAAAAACGGGGGTTACTCGCACAACCATTGAGGACGGACCATTCATGAATCGAGTAGTTAAAATTAATCCAATGTTGAATGAGGTCGCGTATAATGTAGCAGTGATAGAGGCTGTCTTTAATCTCGTTGGATCGACCATGACAGGGTCCACGACGTAATCCATCTAGTCGGAATCACCAAATTTGTGAAAAAAAAATCGGGGAATAGCTCACTCTTATCCACAAAGCTTGGCGATTACTGGAGTGAAGAACTGGTAACGCTTTAGCAGAGCTATCTTACGGTTACAGTGAGATTCAGCTCAGGTTTTATTCAAAGCCATTCATGAAGAAGAGTAAATCGTCAGGTTACAACCGAACCCTACGTAAAATCCTAAGACCTTTATGGAATATGGACGTTTGGAAACGAAATGAACGTAGTATATATTGGAGTCTGCCGTTATTTATGAATACGATTCATAATTTAAAATATGCCCAAATTTTAAAAACACTTTCTTCTTCTGTGTAAATCTTTGGTCACTTTACGATAAATACTTTCCCTGCAGGTTTTTTCTTGGGACTTCCAATATATCCTTAGAAAAGAGTCTAAATTCCTTAATGTATAATTGCTACTTAGAAACAATATTTTTGAAGAGCTAAATTAAGCTAGCAAAAATTGAAAACTCCAATAACTTAACCAGAACCGAAAGGCTTTCAGTAAAAGGTAATAAAAAATACAGATTTCATAGAATGCGGACCGGCATGAGCGGAACGCCATCTTGACAGTTCGTATCCTTTATAGGTAAAGAAGAGTAGGGATTGCGACAACATTGCTTTCTAGCTATCGAGTATCTGCAAAGTGGACATTTAACTATATTGCTGATGTAAAGTTATTTTTAAAACATGCCGGCAACCGCAGCAGAGTTTTTGAGATCTGCTGGCAATACTTCATTTCGCACTCCCAATTTAAGATACTTCACTACGATAGACGATAGGAACAATTTAAGCTTCCATTCAGTGAATAGCGGTGTAAGTAACCTAATTCTGGCTTTTCCTCTAGTGATACTTAAAAATAACTTAAAGTATACGAAAAACTCGCCTCGAATACAACCAAACGATGTTTTCTGAGAGAAATTTACCAATATCGGCTACTGTAATGAGAATCAGCGGAACACCTAGCAAAGCGTACGCGATACAAAACATTCGCCCGTGCCAAGTAACTGGAACGAGATTACCGTAACCTGGAAATGAAACATATCGTTGGTTTGTCGCGAGAAGCGGATTAATTAGAAATTCCATATAATGGTTTACACATAATCGTTGGTTTGAGCCTGCATGGAGCACCTAATCCTCCCATCCTTTAGGGGTTTGTAAATTAGTACCAGGCTTGTCTTTGAGAAGTTTCCTATGTTTTATGAGTGTTGGCAACTTTTCGTGCATAAGGCCTGAGAATGATCTAACAGGAATATCATCCTAGTTTTCCAGGAGAATTAACCTAATCGGGATTCACGGATGACGGATGCGAAAAAACGAACAGTGTGAAAGGATTATTAGAATCCGTCGCATACTTAGTTTTCGACTTGTAAATCGTCATCATATCCAGTGTGAGGATAGTAGCATTTCTTGTACTTGGTGCGTATTCTTCACTTTCATCGTCTACAAGGGTCTTCGAACATTTCGTGTGCTTTTTAAGTTGTTACTTGAGCACTTTTGTCTTCCTTATGAATATCGTAGAATTCTGGCCGAGTCAGCTTCAAAATTTCCAAGCCGAGGGTTTCCGATGTAGGATTAGGGAAGTGTATTGGGGAGGAAGTCGAACGTTAATGAGGTGCTCGCACCTTAGTTCTTGATGGACTGCACCACTAACGACTGCGTTACGATATATACATGGTGGGTATTCATCTTTCCAGCAAAGCCTCTCAGAGTTGGAACGAAACCCAGCTAAGAATGCACCAATACCTAGAATCGTTGTTCTCATAGCAACAACTTAGCAATAAGATGGAACATCTTTAAACGATCTACGAGTCACTGAGTTTCTTTGGAGACAATGTTACCACCAGCTAATATTTATTGTAAACTTTGTACATTCAATCAGTTGCAGATTTACAATCGAAAACTGAACGAATTACCGTACCAATCGTGGTAAGTAGCGTAGCAGTGAAGAAAAGTGCAGTGACGAACGTCCAAGAATACTGAAACGCATCTCTGCTTAGAAGTGAATTCTAGAAAACATGAATGTTTCAAAAACATTTTAATTTTAGATATTATTAAGCTACACCTATCTCAATCATCTTGATTTTGCAACTAGTGAAGCCTGGGTGAGTATAGCCAATGCTTTTCCCCGGTCTCCGCCGCTTCGACAATAATTTCTGCTCTTCCCTCCCTAAGATCTTCTTTTATCACCTGTCTGCATTGCTTCATAAATAAATTCAGGCATGCGTTTGCGATTGTGTTTAGCCCGTTCGATTGTACGCAGGCAAGTCAGCTCTAGTACATCTGGAGATAGACGTCTCTTGATGAATTTCGAACTTTCAGTTATCACGGCGCTAACGTGAAGGTGTTGAATGAGCCAATCGGCTTTTTGTCGACGTTATTAAGAAAGATATCTTTCCAACAGACGACTAATAAACTGAATAAATCACAGTTTACGGTAGTTTTGAAAATTCAATTTTTTCAATTTGTTCGGAATTTTGAGACAGCAGTTACATCGTTTGGGCAAAACCTTCCATTTACTATGATGCGGTCCATTTCGCCATGGTGTTCCCCACTTAGAGACTCTCACGTTCTCCGTTGAGAGTGAGGCTTCTGGAATTGTGAGTTACAACAAATGGTCGTGTTCGCCATAATAATCTCGGACATCCACCAATCATCATCGTTCTGTTCTAATCCGTGGGTCCAAATGTGGCGTTCTTCAGACGTTCTTCTAGGTGCGATATTAACGTTGAAATTTCCTGTACAACTTCTCCAAGAAGCTCATATAGAAAGTTTAGACTTCGACTTCGCCTTCGTCATAGCTTGGTGTTGGTGCGCATACGATGAAAATTGTCGAAGCCGGTATCGCCCGATTCGGATTATTAGTTGTTAGCATGATTCGATATCTATGAAGGACCAAACTCATGTTGACGAGAATGCCGACGCCGCCGACTCCCCTACTGTCGTACAATCCGACAGATGGTTCTTCTCCGGTGTCGTAAACCGCGTTGAATGCGTTGAAACTTCTCGTCTTAGCCTGTCTGATGACGACTTAACCCATCCTTCTTGCCTACATAATCAAATATTCTATCGAGTACTCAGATGCGAGTGTGCATGCGATATTTACGTATAGCTTGCTGATCTCTGAACGTGAAACTGGGTTACTCACCGGTCTCTCTCAGAGAAGACATGGAGCTTATTTGTTGGAGGGGGCTCCTAACCGCCTCCCGTGTACTTCGGTGTCACTTGAGTGCAGGGTTTTGGATGAATTGACTCGTGGAATACAATCCGCATAAGCGAGAAAACACCAACGCACGTATGCATGAACACGCCCTCGTAAGTACAAAAAAAGTATGTGCCAAATCGGCACAGCAAAAACAGGGAGTCAATTTCCTGAATTCACGCGCATCTCAGGAAAGCAAGGCCGCTTTTGGTCCTCGATTAACCTCTGTCAGCCACTTAGTAACTCGCCAAGTTACCTCCGACTAGCGCCATGAGTAAGTGAATTAATCATATTGTTCCAATCAAAGACGAGAACGTGCTTAATTTTGATTTTGAAACCACAGCACGTTTCGCTTTTTTCCTTCTAGAACGGAAAAGTTCCATTTTAAAACTGCTTAAGATTTCATTACTTTCACACTATTGGGTCCACTATTATAAAACTCGAATTAGTGGTGCAATGTTCTGTAAGGAGGTGGATAAAACGAAAAGATGCATTCACAGTTAAACAACGTCGATCTGCAGATGAACTTCGAAGCCTCGTAATACTAACCGCTTCATTTTCTCCTCCTGGTTTTAGAAGTGCAGCAGTGATAAAATTGGTGTCGAATGCTTCGAAAAGGATACGCGTCGAATTCTCCACATAGAGACTTGCTCGCTCCTCTATCAAATCTGCAACTCAAGAAAACATTTCGTGAGAATTTCCATCAAAGCATTTCCTACCAAGCTTCCTTAGCTGAATTTTCTGGGTTGAGTTCACTTAGCTAGTAACCGTGTCCAATTTTCACCAATATGTAAATGAAAATTGCAAAGGACTAGTTTTAGATCGAAGACCTTGCTCTTATTGAGAGACACCACTACCACTGAGCTACCCAAATCCCGTTTGAGTTGACCCATTTAGTAGCTGAAAAAGGTGAGCAAGCACAAACAAATGCATTAAAAACAACAGAACGTGTTATGGGTACCTATGTTGCAATGCTTAGTTTAACGTACAGTACATAACTACGTGATGAGTACGACGACTTTCCAATTAACACTTTCTTGAGTTCATCAATTTAGTTAAATTAATCCACGTAGTGATTCCAGCCGCTGCTTATTCCACTTCTTTCACCTGGTGGTGCTCCAGAATCAACAAGCGTCCAGAGTTCGGTCAGCATTCGTTCTTTATGTTGGTTAAAGCGTCGAATTGCAGATTCACGTACGGCCATCTGAAAAGAGAATCTTCCCCTCTCACTTAACTCTTTCATTCACAACGGCAGTTGAGTAGAGGGCAACCGCACGCAGACTCCCGCCTTCCTCATCGACTATTGAACCGTTAGTTTAAGCTTTTTTTTTTTTTACAAAATCTTTAGTACATCTCTAATCAGTAATTAATGCGAAGCTGGTTCTACGCAAATTTTTCCTATAGAAGAGATTTTGCTCAGTCTGATTAAGAAGAAGTGAGGTTCTTCATATGAGCTATTTGATTTTTATAGTTGCTAAGAATTGAATTTTCCGAAAGAAATGGAAAGGAAATCCGAAATGTTAAGATTTAGGACAAAACTGCGACATTAGAAATATAAACAGTGTATTTAAGGACACCATCGTGTTCTAATGGGTGAGAAATCGTGTCTTCAGTGGCCTTCATTTTTGAAATACCAGCACAGCCAAAAAAAGAGCGCGAACATTTGGTAGGCTCGATCAGATCAGAATGTCATTGTTGCTGAGCAAAAGCTTGTATCCTGTTGACAAAAGCTTATAGATTCTATTGCCTTTTGGTGCAACTAATAGACTCCACTTTAGTTGAGATGTATTGTTTAAAGGTGGACATCGCCGGTAATTTTGCACCATTTCACTGGAAACCAAGTCATGTCGGTCTCGAAATTTTCATTTTCAATGCACGGGATTCACTTCATCTAATAGCTGGGGGTTCTAAGCAGAGGACGATTTCGCAGCTTTCACACGGGAGCACAGGTATGGTAAACCAACGCGAGGAACAACAGCCCCTTGTTAACTTGTTAGCCCCCCTAATAACCTTCTTGTTGCGAAAATAATTAGTAATAATAAATCATTAGATGAAAAACTTGCGTACGTTCTATAAAAGTCAATAACTGCATGTGGTGATGGTTTGAAAAGAACCTAGCCTCCTTACCTTAGAGACTCATTAGGAATTTTATCAAGAGGACTCGTATAAAACGCTACCATCTTGCGTGATTTCTAAATCTCCGAACTGAGTGTTATATAATTTTTTTCATTTATTTCACTTTATACGACCGATCTTCGCGTCTACTGTGCGGATTCCAGCACTTTCCACATTCGATTCGTTTCCTCGCATCCACTGTCCACGAAGATCCTCCAGCTCTTTGTACGTGTGCCTTAGGTTGCTGCTTGAGAATTTTCGTTTAATCTTGATGGTCGTAGCGTGCTGGTTCCCAATTGGATTGCAGAGAGTGATTTTTTCCCAGACAAGCCGGTACTAATGTCTCGACCCAGGAGAGATGAGATGTTTGGTTGGCCCGGAGCGGAATCGAATTAGCACCACGGTCGCTATGACGGACATCACTACCACTGTGCTACCCCACTGTGATATATAGAAATTAGTATCATCAACTGTTACTCATAAATTTTGTAGGTGATGCGAACGTGTCCTATAAAAGAGGTGATACCCACTTCTTGATAAGTACTTTTATTTTTTGCAAAAGACATTAACGTCGTGATAAGAAAGAGCAATAGAAAATAATATAATAATGTTGGAAAATTCGGAATAGGAGAGAGACATAAGAACCAAGACTTTATTTTTGAACTACCGCCTATAGAATGCGTATTCCGAAGGAATTTATTTTTCGAGAAAAAGGGAAATAACTCACAGACGCTAAACTTGTCATGGGGTTACCAACCATGCTGAGTTTGACAAGATCTTCAGGAACGATAGAAAATGGATCATTGCCGCTTCCGTAATCTCTTAAGACGTGAAGATTTGATTAAGCAACTAGCTGGAAAAGACGTGCCATTGTCTGAGAGGAAAGGGACAAGTCGTGCAAGGCGAACAAATTCTCCACGGAAAGACCTCAGTTGTAGAATGTTTTCCGTGGCCTCCTCCAATTTCACGATCGAATTCGCCACGAAAAAATTTTCTAAATCAATGTTGGACTTTGGTTCATTAGAAATTTCTTGGCCCCATAATTTTTTAATGATTCGCGCTTTTTGTAGTGCGTTGCGTCCGAGTTTCAATCTGTAGAAGTAGATTTGTCAAAATTTCTGTCATGACATCTTCGAAACATTCCAACCTTCGAAATCTGTTAAGAGCATAAATTGTTCCACATCAATCCCGTTGATGGATGAATGCCGATGGAACTGAAGGATGGAACTAGCTGAGAGACAGGCGAAACGAAGGACCCGCACGGTGTGGTGATGAATGCGCTATCACCCGGAATGGCAATAGCGCGTTCGTTCCCCACCACATACGCCTGCGGTCCGTAGTATTGCAAATATCTCAGCATCATTGTGGTTATATCACACGTAATGTCCTTTCATGAAAAACTACACAAGGCAGTAAATAAAAAGGTAGCATAAATTATTTTGTAGTTCAATTATACGATGGAAAAGTGCATGAAATGCGTTCTGCAATAATATATAATAGTAAAGCATTCAAACGGAAACTGTTGCTAAAACATAAGAAAAACGTTGAAAATAAAAATCCGACGTTGGCTTTCGAACAACCCAGTCGTAAGTCCACTTTACATGGATACTAGGATGGCCCATCCTCACTGGTTGTGCGGGCTCCAGAGAAATTTTCACTTTTTCGTAGTTTGCCGGTTTAGCCGTAGTGTTTTCCTGGTGGAGTCCCAAGGTCACCCTAGCCAAAGTCTGCCGCAGGTCATCACCAAGACAAGCACTCGCCGTCCTTGTGGATCAGAGAGAGATTTTTCACCATGCGACTAGGTTGATACCAGAACGGTGGTGCATCCTGGTATTGGCTTACTCTTAATTTGGCTTACTGATGGAAACACCGGTTTCCTCAGCTTGGAAGACCCTGCTGTACATCGCAGTCCAACACCCAGGAAAACCTCCCAGCCACGATCAGGCGGTAAACCGTTGAGGGAAGTCTGTTTTAAGTTAATAAAAAACCACATAAAAATAAGTAGGTCGAAAGAGGCAAACGACTAACATTATTATGCCTTCTGCAAAAGAGCTTGCAAAAAAAATTCGGACAAACCTCATTCGGATGCTCCATTTGGTAGAAAGCGACCGCTCCTCCGACAACATATAGCAGCGAAAGGAGAATGAGTCCTACATGAGGTAGTACGATCCGAGCATACTTCTTCCATGTCGGCATTTCTGGCTCAACGATCTGAACCATATTCGCAGGTTGGTAAAAATCTCAAGTCTTGAATATCTCAGAATAAAGGGTTTTGTGAATGATGTCGCTGAATTTATTTATAATTCAGTATTGCGGCATAATGTATTCAGTCGAAGTTTTCCAAGGCTACTGTAAAGGGTTTTTCCTTACCGGTAAGGACAATAGCGCGCGTTCGTTCCCCATCGCATACACCTGCGGTCCGGAGTTTTGCAAATATCTCAGCATTATATATGAGTTATATTTCGCAGCATACTCTGCCATTAAAAAGAAAAAGGCATTAAATAAAAGGCTTAAGATTGTGATTATAACTATGCCTCAGCTTAACTGGGTTCAATGCCGATTTGGGCTCCCCACATCAATCCCGTTGACGGGTGATTGCTGATGGCAAAGGATCGATAGAACTAGCTGAGAGACAGGCAAAACGAAGGACCCGGATAGCACAGTTAACTACGGTGATTATGTTGTAAGCCAAAAGAGTAATGGGCGATAATAGCAATAAACAGAATTATAAAAGCTTTAATCGCTGAAGAAAAGGTTGCAAAAGACTCTTCCATTTTGTTCATAACCTAATATACTAGGCAAAAACCGGAACTTCATTTCGGAAAGTGCATTCTCACTTGGCTCATGAGCGGTTGCGGTACCACACAGCTTCCACCGACCCTTGTAGTATGGGGGTGGTCGATGAACGGTGGAAGATGTCGATTAGTAGTCAGGAAACTCATCAGTGTCTAGCAGTATGACATACGACGGATATGACAGCTATACGAGAGGACGCCACCAAGTAACTTCGTAGATTGCTTTGGATGAGCAAGAAAAAGAGAACTCGCACTCAATCGTAGTTATCCTACTCCATTAACCCGCATCTCATTAAGTGAGTCGGCCAATCACGCTAGTTACTCCTTTATGTGCCATAAAATTCGCCGAACACCATGAGTTGTTAGGCGGGTAGAATAGCGAAAGCCTTGGAGGGTAACTTCGAAAACAAACAATACTTGTGATACTTTCTAATTGAGAAGTAGAGAAGCTTCGACAGAGCGCGTAGATGCATGTAGGTCAAAAACAATAGAATAAGATGGGAATTGAGCAGAAAAAAGTTGGAAAAAGAAAGAAGTGAACAAGCAGGAAGGAGATGGCCGTGTTGAGTCGAAGAGACTACACATTGTTCAGAAGGAAAATATGCAGAGAAAGGTATCAGATGAATAACGGTTGTGTTCAGCCGCCTTGCCAATTCATGAAACAATGCTGCAGGCTACAAAAATCGTAATTCTGTACTATAACAGTCTGCTCTGCTTCTCGGGCCTTTAAATAATTGATCTTTTGTAGACACACTTAAGATTGATGCTGAGATATTTCCAAAACTCCAAAGGCAGGCGACTGCGGTGATGATCGAACGCGCTACTACTCTATCCAGGAGGTGATTGCTGATGGCTTATGGATAAAAAAAAACTAGCTGTTAGCACAGCGAAACGATAACGTGCTCGATCCCCACGGCAGTCACCTGTGGTCCGGAGTTTTCAAATATCTCAGAATCTCCTGGGTGATTGCTGTGGCAAAGATCGATAAAGCTAGCTGAGAGACAGGCAATACGAAGGACCCGAATGGTGTGGTGGTGAACGCGTTACTCCCCGGAAAGGACAATAGCGCATTCGTTTCCAACCGCATACACCTGCGGTCCGGGGTTTTGCAAATATCTCAGCATCATTGAAGTTATATTCCGCAATATATGCTGCCATTAAAAAAAGAGTAGGCAGTAAATAATAAGTTGAAATTACCTCAGAATCGTTGTGGTTGTATCTCGCATAATAACCCACTGTGGAAAATTGTAGTAGGCAGCAAATAAGTGTGTTAACATTGTAACTTAGACTCTAACATTGATTTTGTGCGTGCAGTTTTACGTGAATGTAAAGAGCTTCAATCTTCCATGTATCTTGAAATTGCATTCTGTGATCGATGTGGCACTAAAGTGAAAAGCCCTCCAATTCTCTTCACCCTATAGAGAACTTCTCCCTTGAAAAGTTCTCTATCTATCTAAATAATAGTATTTGAAGTCCAAATATGGCCTCCTCGCACTCGCACATCAAACACCGCAATGTAACCTTTTCTAATGTTCTCGATCAATTATGCTCAATGTTTCAGGCACAATAGCGATTCAGGTTTGACTTCAGTAGCATAGCGACGATGGCTTATCCGAAGGAGGCGTAACCATGGACTAAAAGACCCGCGTGGCTAATATTCTACATCGATCTGAAACGCTACACTTCGCCGCTAACCATTTCGTTACACACCCTCACCATAACAAAAGAAACAAAACTGGGGAATAGTGGTTTCGCTGCACAACTAATGCTGACAAACTCTGAAATGAAAGCTGCTATGCTAATTAACCCATGACACAGTTTGCACTGCACTCACAGGACAATATTTCATTTCATCTTTTCTAAAAACCTTGCTCCCTGTGAGGGTATTCGTGGTTTCGAAACGCAACTGAGATTCCGGATTTTGGTCATATTTCAGCATTCTTGTAGTTGAAATCTACACAATACCCTGCTATCTAAGATTAGAAAGCAAATGAAGGTCAACCACTTCCTGATTATGATATTTTGATATTTTGACTATGAATTGGCTTGAGCGATGTCTTCTGAAACATAACCGGCCCTCTCAATTTCTAGCCGGAATGTGGAGCTCTGATCTTTGAAATCTGTCACATGTTCGAGATACAGGAGAACATACATCGATAGTGAAACACAGATAGGCGCTCACATGACAGACAACTGATGGAAGTTCTGCATTCACTCTTCACCATCCGTGAAAATAATCGATAATCGAAAAAAATAGAAATACACTGCTAATATACTGCAGGTTGCTCAGAATGCCTTCTAGGTTGATGTTTTTGAAAAATGTGCACCTGTACTATATGGAGCAACTTGTTCAGTGAACGATCTTAACGTTTCGGTTCGTGTATGTGCTTCTTTGTTTCGATGTGTGAATGTCTGTGTCTGTGTGCGCAATACGTGTGTAGGTGCCTGTCTTTTAGCTGCGTGAATATATATATATATGTATATATATATATATATATATATAATATCCGATCCCACTACCGTAACAAAAAGATATCTTCTATTATTTTCAGAGGAGGAACCGGATGGTCGGAGACCCACACCATCCGGTTCCTCCTCTGAAAATAATAGAAGATATCTTTTTGTTACGGTATTACAAGCCACATGCTGCTTGAAGAATTCCATTTCATTTTGAATGCCTTAGAATGCTGGTCTAGCAATTCTCCCTTGAGTCCTGAGATAGCCGGGCTTTAGCGTTCGCAACTGTACATGCCGATTTTCCGACCCTGGAGGGATAAGAGGCTTCGATGGTCCTTAGCGGAATCGAACTAGCACCATGCTCGTGAAGACGTAGAATCGATCCCCGCGCCCATGGCCCACCAAGCCTTCCATTCTTTCGAGGTCAGCACTTTGCCATTCGTGATTACATTTTTTTGCCTTTTATTTGCTGCCTACTGCAATATCAAATCAATGTCCCTATTTTACCAGGCATGTCTGATAGCAATCAGATGACTCCGGAGCGATCGAAGGCTTGGTGAACTCGAAGAGTGAGGTGCAATTGAATCAACGGTTGAGAAACATCCTTGAGCCTGGGAGTTTCGTTGACGAAGCTTCAGAATATCATAAATCGGATTTCGGCGCATCAGCATCAGCAGCGTTTAGACCTTAATGAATCGAAACACGCAAGCAATACCCCAAAATCCACCGAAAATCGCAATATTGTAAAATTGATTTTCAGCATTTCTAGAGAATATAAAAACAGTTCTGCGATCCATTAAGATCTAAACAGAGTGGACTCTACGAGAATGCAAACGTCCCCTAGGACGGCCACCTAGACGTTGGGCCGACGAGTTTCTAACCAAAGTTAATCGGCTGTACACGCAGCTGCATTTGTTTTACAGATCACAGTATGAGACTCGCACGCGCCACAATGAATAAAACCACCACGATAGACTACGATTACAAAGGAAGGAAACGAATCGCAAATATGCTGGGATTCTCACAGCTTTTGAAGATCATCCAAGCATCCAAGTAAGTGTCCAAGGTTATGGTTTTTATATATAAGTTCCAAAATGTCAAATAATATGTGAAATACTGTGATGCAGACATTTCTCTAACAAGCAGCGCCAACTGCCTATTTTTTGATACGCTATGAGTTTGGCAAACTCGTCCAGCATTCCGACATAGCTGTCAGCGCATAGTTAACGGTGCTGATTTTTTTCTCTTGTAAAAGACGGTAAGTTTTTGATAACTAGAGGACTTGAGTGGCCGAAAGATTCAAAGCTAGTAGAAAGGGCTTGGCTCTATTTCAATAAGGATGCAAATTTTTTATATATTTACTACATCTTATAATGAGCTATCGTCCCGCCACATTTCTGAATGCAGCTACGTAACTCTTCTTGGGTGTGTTTCAGTGAGCTTCATGTCCCCGCCTTGCAAGCGATAAACATGATTCATATACCGATTAGAAGTGAAATGGCAGCCCATTTCCTAGTGGTCACCCCAAGTGTCGAATTCCAGTATGCAAAGCATAGTGCGCTTGACAAACAAACTCGTCCGAAAAGTTGTTTTTCGATTAACATGCAAACTCGCCCCAACAACAGTTCGTTGACTAAATGTAGAAAGCAACTTCACATGAGTCATGTTGGGCATAATCGATAATCTGTGTTCAGTAAAAAAAAATTAAGGAAGACAGTAAGGATTCTCTGTGTGGCAACATTAACCACTGAAATAGAACGTTGAAGTCGATGCACATTGTCACTTATGTATTAATAGAAAACCTCACCGACTGCTATATTCTGAGCGGTAAACGAACCAATCCAATCCAGAATAGACCAATGATTTCTAACGACGATGATGCTGAGATGCTCACAAAACTCAAACCGCAGGAAAGATTCAATTGGACCCAAATGGTCACTTGTA